AAGTGGCACAAAGTAATTTAGCCTATGGGTAGGTCAAAAATCGAATGGGTGCTGGCCATTGGCCTAATCACCTGTGTTGGCTTTATGTTTTTGGTCAAACATTTGTTTGTTTCACATTTGCATTGATGTAATCAATAATTTTTCTAATTTAATTTAATAAAAAAAAAAAAAAAACATATTTCTTGGGGGTGCTTAGGGGGTGCTTTGGCAATCCTGGGGGGTGCTTCAGCAACCCCTAGCTCCCCCCCTGGCGCCGCCCCTGCATAAAATCCAACCGGGATCATAAACTCACACATAACATATTCACCCATCAATTACACAATTCCAACTCTCCGTTCTTACCTGCAAAGAGCAAAAATATGTATCTTATTATCACAGTTCGCCACACCGTGACTTCACTCAAGTGTGTGTTTACGTTCTCTGAATGTATTCACGCGAGACTTCACTTTGTCCCCGAACACAGTGTAGCGAACTCGCCCTCTGCTGGTCGGAGTTAGACACTACATACTGCTAGATAACACTACATTTTTCAAACAATAAACCAACCATTCATTATCAGAAAACACACAGACAATTCTCACCACACTCTGAACATGAGCTGTACTAAATGCAAATCATGTTAACCATGTAATTACTAATACTGTAGGTATATCAACCCACTGATGGCTCTGTATGCCACAGTAACACCAAAGGAAGACATCTATACCAGATACAAAGGTAAGTAGGAACAGGAAGCACTTGGGGGAGTAGTAGAAGAGAACAGAGCATTAACAGCAGGATAGAATTGGGACATTCTGGATTGAACTCATCACTGCATCTGATTGGAAAACATCCAAATGGCAATTGTGATGGTTGCCAACAGTCAGAGACAATACATCAATGTATTTTTTAGCTGCCCGGATTATAACAGACAAAGATTCATTCTGAAAACTGCACTGGAACAACTCAACATCAAGGACATGGATTTCAAGTCAATATACGAAAGTAAATCAAGAAATGAAGCAAACAAGCTGATCTTCAAATTCCTCAAAAGCACTGGTCTAAGGGCAAGGATCTAAAATGAACATGTAATAACTCAACAGTAGGTGGCGATGTATGCTCCAAGTGGAAGCGATTCGCCATTAAAGAAAAGAAGAAGAAGAACATCCGCACATCACAAGACCCAGCAACCAGGCTAACCCAAAAGTCATCATTGATGCCCAAGACGCACAGAAGGGAAAGCACGAACAGGTGAGAAAGCACGAACAGGTGGGCATGAGCTGAAATGTTATTTTAATTTAATACTTTACTTCAGTGTATTTGGATTTCCTCTTCATAATCGCTGTTAGCATGTAGCCTATGTATAGTATATTTTTACAAACGTGTATTATGTAGTTGCATGACTGGTATTCATTTAAATGTGCGTTTTAACAGCAATACAGTGGTTCCTCTTGCTCTCTAGCTTTTCTTTCTTTTGTATCTAATTTGTTCTTTATTTCTACCTTATTTTAGTTTATGGCAGTCATGGCCGCTTCTTCTGAAAAACTGCTGACAGGTCTGGTTGCAGCTACGTTTACTCCACTCACCGAAGAAGGGTGAGTAGCCTTTATGAATCCTTTTTGTTGTATTTGTTGTTCGAGAAAGTGTAGATTATTGAAAGTGAGGAATGACTTTGGAGAAATCTGAAATGTTGCACAATCCTGTAAATCTGAAGCATCAGATTTTTAGAACGATATGTTCACATTTTCCCAAAACAGTGAAATCAACATAAAAGAGATCGGACCTTATGTTGACTACTTGACAGAGAGGCAAGGTGTAATAAAGATATTTGGTAAGTTTACCAGTGGAATTTTCTTTTTATTATTTGTAAATATATCTGTTGCAATCTGAATCCAACGCAGTATTACATGATTTATGTTTCACCTCTTTGGTTTGTATATTTGTTGGTCCTCTGTTAACCGTGTTATCCCTCCTTTCGGGTTGAAAAGCAATACCCAACTTCCGTTAGGTGTTATCAGAGGTGTGAGAAGTACATCTTGTACTTTAGTAAAAGTGGAAGAGCCAGATGTGTTATCAAAGCTGGTAAAGGTTGAGCTAGTTTGAATGATTTTGTATACTGCAGGGTGGATTTAGAATTTACTCCAGGTGTAGCTAAAGTCTGATTTAATTGTTTACATTATCAATCCAAATCAGCAAAGTAACTAACTAAAGGTATTAAATACATTTATTGGAGTAAAAGTACACAATTCAGTACCTCTGAATTGTAGTGGGGTAGAAGTACAAAGTATCAAAAAATGGAAATACTCAAGTCAAGTAGACGTACCTCAACATTTTACTTAATTATAGTATAAGTATTTAGTTACTTTACACCACTGGTTGTTAGTTTAGATTATATTTGCTCAGACAGCAATAAAATAATCAGTTTTGAACACACTGTAACTGACACATATTGCTTCATAGTGAGACTCGCATAATCATTTCCTCAAAACATGCACATGTCCTTGTTTTTAGTGCAGATGTTCTCTCAAAAGACACATCAGCTGGAATTATTCGCCCTAATATTCCATTTAAAATATGTATTTCAAAAACAATGATCTCAAATAATGACATTATAGCATTATCCCTGTGCTTTGTGGATTAATGCTTACATGTTGCTCACCAAATTACTACAAATGTCTTTAGGCCTTGCAAACAAGTTGAAGGCATTATCTGTCATTTGAAATGCAAAACAAAAACACAGTTTAAATTCATATCATTTCCCAGGAATAGCAGATTAGAAACCCTTACTTTTAGTTATGTGTTGCTCTTCAGTTAAC